TGTTGATGTTGAATTTTAACTAGAAGCATTAGATATGGTTGTTTGATATTTTTTGGTTGGTTTGATGCTTTCAATATCATCATCTGCCATTACGTCAAAATCATTGCTTTCGTTAATCATGACATGGGAAATTTCATTGATCTGTTCTCTTAACTTTTTTTTCCTTAGTAAGAAGTCCTATATTTCATCTTGTGCATGTTTAGAGCAATTAGAATAAGCTTTAACATTTTTGAAATCCCAACCAAGTGTTAATTGTGGCATGTAATTCCTGCTTTTGTTATTTTGTCGCTAAAATATGTGTCATAATTGTATTTAGCTTTATTAGCCAATATTGAATAGTTCTATGCAGGATCTTTTTTTGTAGATTGAACTAAAACCAACATTCTCTCGATCATCTTTGAGGAAGCATGTATTCAATTTAATTTATTTAATCAACAAAACTTGTTGCAAGAAGAAAAAAATAAACCTTGAAAGAAAAAACAACTAAGAAGAGAAATGGTGATTGAGAAAACCAATCTCCAAGAGGAAGAAGAGTTTTTCTTGCTTCTAGCTTGCAAGTCAGGCTACCTTTTCTTGCAACTTTGGAATAGTCACAAGAAGAAAGAAGAAGCCCCAACTCTCTGTTTTGGAATGTATGAAACCGAAAACCTACAATTCCTACCTCACCTTTGGAGATCCTAAGTCCAGCAGCTCCTTGTTCTCTTTATTTGGTAGAAGCAAAATAGCATCACAGACTGCAGCTAACTTCATTTTCCCTAGTCGCATGCAAGCAAAATGCCTTTAGCCTTTGGATTCAATTTATGAACCACGCATGCACTCCTTCTAGCCTCCGCTTATTGTAGTGGCACACAACATAGTGGTCTTTCCATCTGATTTCTCTCTGAAAAAAAAGCTGAATAGCAGCTCATCTACTAAATTTTGGAAGGGGAAGCAAGGATCATCCATTAATGGAGAGATAAGCCCATAGTCGATTGACCTTTGTCGCACTAGGTTGGTTCTCTAGCTCTCTTGTTCGATTTTGCCCAGCTTGTTGGTATACAAAAATTAGGCACACCAATTTGGGTTTGATTTGAGTCGAGTAGATTCAACCCGATTGGGTTTGATTGGACTCAATTGAATCCGATTGGACTTGATTCAATTAGTCTGATGCAATCCAACTCAATTTTGCTCTATTTATCTTAACTTAAATTGAATTGAATCTATTCAATTTGACCCAATTAAGTTCATTTAATGTAATTTGGCATGATTTGATTCAAATTAATGAAATTAATATTGAATCACATTAAATTAATTTTTTAAATTGAATCTATTTATTCAATTTAATCGATTGGAGTTATGTCAAGCTAAAAAAATAAACCAGCTTTGAGTTAGTTGGCTTAATTTAACTAAATTAAATTGCCTTGGTTCAAAGTTGAGTTGAAATTATTATTATTTTTACATAATCGAATGCTTTTGATTTAAAATTATACATTGCACTATGTATTATTGTTCATATATGGTGCAAATAATTTGTGCTATTTTGAATAACTGTATCATGTCAAACAAATAGCGCTGTATGTGTGCCGCATTGTCCTCCATGGCGCTCGCTATTTCTTGCCATTGTCATGTATGGGTGGAGCATAGTCCGTAATATCAATTCTTCTAACGAGGAATCAGGATATTAATAGATTATAAATATTTTTGATTTGAAGTAATGACATTGATTGGTTATGCAATGATGTAAAGTTTGTCATTTTGATGGTATGTTTGTTGTGTTGAACTCCAAAAGATCAAAATTATTGATTAGTTATACCCAATAACAAGGTTCGAATCATGTTTGGCCAAGGTTTAGGCATTGTTCAAACGAGGTTTGGGCTTTGTTAAAAAAAATAAATCAGGTTTGGGCTTTGTTAGAATCAGTTTGGATTTAGTTAAAACAGCATTCAAACCAAGTTTGAACTTGGTTCGAGCTATGAGTTTGAACTAGGATCGAACCACAAGTTTTAAGTAGGCTCGGACGTAGTTCGAACTAAGGGTTGATTACGAACCAGTTCGAACAAATTTGTTTTCTTTAGACGTCAAGGATGTTGTTCCAGGTTAAAAAGTGGTGGCATTTTAGTATGAAATGAATTTTTCATGTTTATTTTTTCATGAAAATAAATTGCGAGTATATTCAATTGATTTTGGTTATTAGAAGCCCTATAAAGCCAAATTTTCCTTCTAAAAAAGAATTTTTTTTTTAATTAATGCAATAAAATACTAATTGTCTGTTATCAAAGAACCAAAATCACTAAATACAAATAGGATATAGGTTCTTTTGTGAGAAGGCTTGATGTCAAAGATTATTATTATTATTATTATTGTATTATTGTTGTTATTTTAGTTACTATTTTGTTTTTTTAAATATGCAGTTTTTCACATGAATGTATAAAGGAAATTATGTTGGTAAATTATATGGAGGACTAGTTACTATAAACTGATTGGGGAGGTTTGGATACCTGCACTGGAGAGTAGAGAAAGACTTCTGAGGTGGGTGTTAGAATTTTGAGAAAGACTTCTGAGGAGGGTGTTAGTTTTTTTGTTTAAGGGCTATGAATGAAAAGGAAAGGTCAAACCTATATGGTAAAAGTTTGTTGAACTTATTTTGCTGAACTATTACTATCAGTAAATGCAACATCAATTGGATACTGACATACATGATGGGATCATAAACTGACCACAAAAATCAGGGATATGGCTTTTGATGATGACCATTGAATTAGTGGGTTGGCAGCTCATTGTTTTCAATAATTGTGCAATATAAATGGATTATCATTTTCGGCATCATCTGTTTGAAAGCTGCATTAAGGACTTCTTAATACTGCATTAATACTGGAGTTTCTGCTGTTTGCTTCTCTCCGTTTCTGCACTTGCACTGAATTGCAGATTGTCACACTTTTGTATACCTTCCAAAGTTGGAAACTACCTTTTTTTTGCTGGCATTGCTATTCTTTACCTTTTGAGTCATTTTAAGCCAAGTCTCAATTTGGTAAATCCGTTTTTTGCTTATGCTGGTGATGCGGACATCGGCACGAAGATCTGGCGCATCTATCACAGGAGGCGTCGTAAATCAACGGCTCTAATTTATGTTGTCATTTATGAATTATTTTCTGCATTTTAGTTTCTATTTTATGTTATTTTCTATTTTACTGCTAGGTTAATTTATTTGAGTGTTGTGGCCCAAGGGGCATTTTTGTAATTTTCTATTTTCTCATGTTATGGCCTATAAATAAGGGCCTTAAGCTATTGTAAAGGATGGTTGATTAATATGAAAAATTGTTTCCCACACTTGTGCTCTTCTTGTGAAAGAGCGTTAGTGAGATTCTTATGAGAGGAAGTGAAGTTGTCACCAGCCGCAGGATGGGTCCGAGCTCGTGATTTGAGTCCCTTGGAGAAGGGCAACGCATCACCCGTCAGCCTTCGGATGAGTCCAAGGCTCGCTGCTTTATTTTCTCTTTTTCATTTTTATCTTCGATCGATCTTCTTTCTTTCGTTTTTATCTTTTCTTTAATTGTTTTTCCATCGTCTTCATCCTCCACACTTGCCGCCGGATCTAACCCCATCCGACCCCATCCGCCCACTTTAAGCTCCCGGCCAATTCCCTCACCCGCCGGCCACCTTCCCATCCACCCGTGAATCTCCCCTTCCCCTTTACCCTCCCCCTTTCCTAATTTGAGTCGGCAAAATCGAGAGGGAAAATCCATGACAATTTGGATTTCAAATTTCAAATTTGAAATCTTTCCTAATTGGTGTTCCTCCCATCAATTCCCCAATTAAGGCATTAATGACCTCTTAATTTGAAATCAATTTTCAAATTAATTTCCCCTCATTTTCATTCAAATCCTGAAATTAATTTCAGGATTTGAATTAATCTCTCTCCCCTCTCTCCCATGAGATTTTAATTTGAATTAATTCCCAAATCTTCCATCAAAGCTTTAGGAAATAATTCAAATTCCTAATCTCCTCAAATTCTACTTCAGCCGAAATTTGTCTCTCCCGTAATTCCTTCAATCAATTTACTTAATCTCCTCCTGTGGAATAAATTCAGAATTCCTACCTCATAGTAGCCGAAAATCGTCAAGCCCAAGTCTCCAATTGATTTCCAAAATCTGAGCTCAGGGATTAGGAAATAATTCCCTAATTTCCTCCTAGCTTACCGCCACCTTTTATTGGGTTTTCCCACAATTCTGTCCACGGGACGGTGCTCCTCTTTGGGAAAAATTGGAGAGCCAACCTGCTGTTGGCCGAACCTTGAAGGGCCCATCTTGGGTTGCTTCTCTAACCCACCGTCCCTCTTCACCATCGACTCCTCACTTAAGTTCTAAAACTCACCTCTTCTTTCTCAAGCCCAATTCTTTCAAGAGTGAAACCATAAATCTCTCTCAGGTTTTGGGGAGCAAAAATCTGACATTGTTCTCATATTTCGGAGCTATAAATTTTGGAGATTCACCTCAGATCTTTGTAAGAAATGTGAAACGGTTTTCATATTTTTAGAGCAAGAGGCTTGGAGCTTGTTTCCCTTCCCCTCTCAAGCAAAAATCTGAGATCCTTCTCAGGTTTTGGGCAAAGAAATCAATATTTCCTTCAGATTTTGGAGAGGAGTTTCCTCTCCCTAGCAAAGTTGCCTTTGTTCTACATCAGCTGGTTTTAGCACTTCATATTTGTATTATCTCTTATAAAAGGGTACAATTTAGTTGCACGTCAGCCAAAGTCTGGGGGCCTTTTCACCAAGTTGACCTCCTTTGAAGCCTAATATCATTAGTGATCAATTTCAAAAGTCAAATATATTAAGTTTTGTTGCTGCTAGTCGCAATGGACCTTTGTCAACTTTTTCTGTTCTGCTTTAACATTATTGATTTCCTTTCTTAGGTCTTTTGAAACTTTTTTGTCAGCATCTTGATGTTCTGATTGCTTAAATATTAGTTTATCTTTTGTCGAACTTAGCAGATATATCTTTGTTTTTTATTTTTATTTTTGAGTAGGTAGTCAACATGGAATGTCCTTGATGGTTGAGCTCAAAGAGCAGGAGCACGTTTTAAAACATTGTATTCAGCAACTGGGGCAAGTTGAAGCAACAAGGGCTACCCTGTTTGCTCAGCTGAAGGAAGCCCTGCAAGAGCAGGTATTTATTTTGATTTGATAAGTTTGTCCCCCTTGATTTTATGATCCTTTTAGATGATTAATCTTTTTCATACTGTAGGAATCAAAGTTGGACCTTATACGCTCTCAGTTACAAGTAAGAATAATCTCTCTCTAAACCTCCCTATACTTCCCTAGTTCTTTTCTTCTCCCTCCCCTCAAATTACCTTATTTAGACAGGCTGGCTTCCATGTAAATTAGTCATAATTATTATTTCTATAGTATCATTATTTTTTTTAAAATTTGGCACAAAGTTAATTACACCAATAGATATCTTTAATATTGTTGATGAAATTTCGATTTCTCATTAAATTTGAATGCTGGTCTACAGATTGTATTATGCCTGGGTTTGATAGCAGGAAAAACATCATTTTTTTTAAATGCAGCTTGATAACTGTTTCAATGCTTTTTCAGTCAAAATTTTCATGCACATTGCCATGCATAATGGATGTCTACTCTTTCGATCAAATATCACATATTTTGACATATATGATCATCAAATTAGTCATATTCGTAATTGTGAGGAACACGAATCTTCTATGGTAATAAGCAATATGGCAGTGCTCCTATGAATTAATTTTCTTTGGTGATTGTAATGGGCACAAGATACGAAATGAGCATATACGTGAAAATGTTGGAGTAGCTCCAGTGGAAGATAAGATTAGAGAGAGTCGCCTTAGATGATTTGGCCACATAAAATGGCGGCTTTCCAATGACCTGGTTTGGAAATTAGATGTATTATATTTGACTTATGTCAAGAAAGGTAGAGATAGACATAAAAAGTCTTAGTTAGAAAATGTTAGAAATGATATTTCTTTATTAGATTTAAATGAGAATTTAACTCTTAATAGGACACAATGGAAAAAAAAGATTCATGTAACCGACCCCACATAGTGGGATAAAGACTTGATGTTGTTGTTGGTGGAGCTTGTAATGGGCACATGAGAAATAGAAGCGTCCAAAACTGATTGTTTGTTGTACATTTGACCTAGAGCTCTTTGATCTAAGACTTGTGAATAATTCAGAGATATTTGTTTATTTGATCTGCATTTTATTTTATCTTTTGTGATGGAGCACAATTTAGCTAATTTAGTTTAGAAAAGACTAATTCTTATAAGCTAACTAAGAAGGATTGAATTGTGTTACAAAGGTTCTAAGTTGGGCTACTTTTCAAGCTTTTTTCGATTCATAATTAGTTATTGACTAATTTTTTTTATTTGATTTATTTTGGTAGGCTCAATTATTCTCCTTGGATAGTATTAGGTATGAAAATTAATGCTTTCATAGGATTAGTTTTAATTCAAATAGGATTTGATTAGTTTTCAAAAAAATTGGCCTTACCTTCGTAACCCTTTTTCTATAAATAAGTTCAAAATATTTGAACTTTTATTCGAATAATTAAATATTAATAGCTAATGATTGAAAGTAATTGAGGCTAATTGAATATTCGTTCTTTTGATTCATGTTATGTATATGGATCAGTTCATGTTATATAGGTGACTACTTCCTCTTTCCAAGTTGTGCATTTAGAGTTATTTTTCCTCTATAAATTTGGTTTCAGAGATATATCAGGTAATTTTTTTGGATTTTCCTTGATTAATTGATATCTGCTCTACATCTTAGCCTCTTTCATCCCAATACCAATCAGACCCCTATGATTATTCTCAGAATACTTATTGTGAAGGTAGCTCATAGACCCAAATCCCTCAACTACTGTGTGATCCCAAGACAAAATGTCCTACGTCACTTGTTCATGCAAACCGATACTTGCCAAATTGCTTCAATCTTCGCTCAGCTAATCATTTTTTATCCTGATACCTCTCTATACCTCTTGCCTTGTTCGATTGCTAGCCTAGCCTGCTTGCTTCACTGTATTTCCCCCAAATCCACACCGTGATCATGCACAACACTTGTTTTTCCGGTTGTGCTCTTTGTTGTTATTTGTTTGCATTGCAATATAGAAATCCACCTCCACTGCCTTCACACAGACAAATTGAAACCAGGCTTCCAATTAGCCTCTAAAAAGTAACCCCACTTGGACCTCGTCACAATTAACATTAACCTCTTGGTCAAAATTCCTTTATATGCCAGATAGCAGCCAAAGATTTTGCTATTGAGCTCTTATCACCACTTGCACCATGGCCTTCAATAGGAGCACCACATTTGTTGATTTTTAGTACGTCTTCTCACCTTTATCTTCTCTCCGCCTCTTAATTTATTTAATTTTGGCCAAGGTCCTCAAATATCACTTAGTTCTGTTTCTTCATTTCACCTTCAATTCAAAAGCTATTTGGGAACATCATTATAGCTAATCATCCCTCTTTTAAAATCCCACAATGTCTATTTACTTTCTTTTTAATTTAAACATGAAATTTTTTTTTTTCTGAGATTTGTGTAATTGTCAAACATCATTGTGTTGTTTTTTCCTAAAATTGACTCTAGGTCCTCCAGTCTTTCTAATTCTTCACTATGATATTTGAGGACCTTTCATAATCACCAATATTTCTTTAGATACATGAATTATCACCTTCATTGATGATCACATTTGGATGACATGGATTTCTTTCAACAAGCAAACTTTTGATGTTAACATTATTCTCCTCATTTTCATCACTACAATACAAAATTAATTTCATGCTAACATCATAGTATTTCGGATTGATAATACTTGTTATTACTTTAATCATGCATTACATCTTTAATCACGCATTACATCTTTATTTCAGAAAGTTAGTATCATCTACCATTTCTTTTGTATGACACTTTCTAATAAAATCAAGCTAAAGAAAGAAAAAAATCATCTTCTTTTCAAAGTCAGTAGGACTCTTCTCTTCTAAAATCAAGTGCGGACTTAATAATGAGAAGCAATATTACCTAATTAATAGAATACCTTCAATAGTAATCATCTTCAAAGTCTTATAAACTATGAGTTCTTTCCCTCCAACAACTTCTCTCAAAATTTTATCCCAAAATCTTTAGGCTTATGTCCACATCCACAAATAATACAGGCGTAGAGTTGTTCCTAGAGCTCGCAAATCTGTCTTTTTTGGTATTTCTCCACTAAAAAGGTGTATAACTTTATCATTCTATCCAAGGTTTAAAATTGCATAAATAAGCCTCGAGACGTTTTTCGTCCGTGAGGCGAGGCATAAGCCTCAAGGCGATGTGAGGCGTAAGCCTCACGGACGCAGAATTGCATAAATAAGAATTTAAGGGTTTTAGCAGGTAAATAATAGCAAGATTCTATCATACAATAAAAAACATCTAAATGACATGTGAAATTAGTGAAAAGTAAGAAAATAGATGCAATAAAATTATGTCCCAAAGTACAAAACCATAAAAACAACACCTTGTCCTAAACCCGGCGAGCGGCGGAGACGTGCTGGAGATCGACTTCGGGAGCTCGCGGGATCGGGATGGGGAGCTTGCGGGTTTGGGAGCTTGCGGGTTCGGGAGCTTGCGGTTTGGCTTGGACTAGTACAAGGGAGAGCCTAATTTCATTTTTATTTACAGTGAGTGGGACCATTTCTATGAGGTGCACGCCTCAAGCAAAATTGCGCAATTAAGGCGCGCCTCACTCTGCTTGAGGCGTACGCCTCATCAAACGCCAAAATTGCTTAGACAATAAGGCGTCCTTGGTCCAAATTGCGTAGAGGCGCACCTCTTATTGCGCAATTTTAAACTAGGATTCTATCACCAAAAAATCATTTACTTCAAAAGATGTCACCATTAATGTGATTCAATATTTTTTTTCAATTAAACTCATCTTTAGGGGGATAACTTTTAACCAAACGATTAATTTGATGAAATATTTATCATCCATCTAGGCATTCCTATAACACAAACTTTAAAAAATCAAGACATTATCTCTTAAAATATATACAAGGAATAAACTAAACCAAAATCTAAAGCAAGATCAAAACTTGAAACCTTTATCAGTTAACAATGATTAAACCATCATTATACATTATTTTTTACATCTCATCTCGTAGTACTTATCTTTTCAAAATTTATCTTCTACCCTTAAAGCCTATGATGCACGGATACGGACATGACGACACGGACACAGGACAGTTTTTTTTTTTATGTAGGACATGGGTGTGGCGCAGATTCAGTATAATAATTTTTTTTAATATAGTATATATAAATTGAGGTAATATCATCTTAGAAATGACAAATAATAACAAATCAATATCATGATAACTTGTTTAGCTTATAATATAAAATGTTTAGAACAATCTGTTTAGTACAACCATAAAAATATAAGTAAAAAATCATTTAGTACAATATCATGTTTCAACTACTAAGTAGAGGGAATGATAGGAGTAGCTTCAGAGATTTGTCTTTGGCCTTTAATATCATCATCATTGAATATCATTGTTTCCAACTCTGGTTCATCAAGAGAAGGATTTGCAATCTCCAATATTCTCATATCATAAAGGGACTCGAACCCATTCCCAACAGTATCCCACATCTTGTTATCACTTGCCATATACTATGTTGCACCTATTTATGAAGGTGTGCTATATATGATACACCGATACATGGATATGCCTCCGATACGGCACCGATACATGTCGAATACGGCTTTGCCGTATCCAATTAAAATATTATTTAATTTAAAAAGGATACTCCTGTCTGTTGAAAATTTAAAAAAAAAAATTGAAAAATAAGACTTGTATTTACTTCCGCAGTTGCGAGCAAGGTTCTCTCATTTTCGAGATGGATTTGAGTCTCTTGATGATATGAGAATATTAGAAAATGCTAATCTTTCACTTGATGAGCCTAAATTAGAAGCTATTGTATTTATTGAAGATGATATAAAAGTTCAAAGACAAACCACTAAAGAAGCTAATCATATCATTCCTTCTATTAAATAGTTGAAAGTTCATATGCTAGATAATTTATGTTTATGCTTTTGTTGTTGTATTAGACATTTAATGCTTACTTTTATTTTGATATTATAAGATACAAGGCTATAAATGATATTACATTCATTTTTTTTGTGATTTCAAAAATTATGCTTTGATTATTTTCTTAATTTTTATGTATGATTTATAAATTATAATGTCGTGTCCGCGTCTTACCAGTATCCTG